AACGTTACGAAATGTCACTTCCTTGCAATTTAGATTTACGGAAAACGTTGACTTTATTTAATACAAAACCGGAGGCTCATAATTACCTTCAATTATGTTCACATGCAAAGTTTCTAGCAATTTATCAAGTGTCTTTTACAATATTTCACTTATGTAACGTCACGTTGCGTAACGTTTGTTTTTTTAGGAAGAGATATTTCTTGTCTCTTTGATTTGTTTATTTGTTTGTTCTTATTTTGTCAATCCGCAATTTCGTGTACTGAGTACAATCGAAATTTGACCTTTCAATCAGTTATTTCTCAATCAGAGCATAACAATTGACTACTACTTGAAAAAATAAATGAATCGTTTAGTTAATCAAATTTGCTTACATTTTTTGTTATTAAATATTAATAACTAACAATATGTAGACCAGTGTTTCTCAACATATGAGTCGTGGATCATGTAATTTTTAATGGATTTCAAATGACAGCTGTCACCTTATGTCAAAAATGTGTCATTTGTGTCATACTGCATACTTAATTACGAGTGACAGCTGTCACCTTGTGTAGATTTCTAAAGAAACATACAGTAATTAAACTCTTTTTAATAATTACATTAATTTTTAGTGCATTGCTTTCAATTCAAGTTATAAGAGTAATAAAATATGTTAACTGTCATGTCTGTAATACTGTATACACACTATGAGTGACAGGAGACGTAAATGCTTGTCAGGTGTACCAACTACTAACTGTGCAAATGCAGCTGTCAATTAACTGTCACTGTTATCGAACTCCCAGGTAACCAATTGATACTCTTGACAAACAGTTGTATCACGCATAGTATGAATGCAACATTACTTTAATTGAAGCAAGCAGCATTAATTGAATTAATTAAACATCAGGTATTAAATACAAATAACCCTGAAACGATCCGTTTGTTCTGAAAGGTATACAAGGCTGGTAAAAGCAAAAACATTAGCAGAGGATAAACAGCTTCCAGAAGGCAGCAATTGTTGGATAATTAATTCAAGGACCGTAATCATACGCCTCGTGTTGTCATAACAACTCTCAGAGCAATGACACCAATGTTCAAAACACTGTCTTAAGCAACCGATTCGGTTTTTAATTTATTATTATTATTGTTTGTTTATTTTAAACTAACGATTCGAGAACAATGCAACATTCATATAATAAACAGAAAATAAGATTAAAAAAAATAAAACACAAGACGTCTTGCATTTCAACACCGAGATTCCACTATCATCTCATTATTTACGAAGAGACTATTACCCAATCCTTTAATTACGCAACGCCGGCTCTGAATTATGCAACCGCATCTGTTGAGATTCTCAAGCGACAAATCAATAAACTCGAATATATGTTTTTTTTTTGGGATGTTACAGACACGCAGTGTTGTGTGTATTATTTTCCATGAGAAATGTAGTTTTCGTTTGCGGGAGAAAGCGAAGTTTCGCACGTACAATTTATTCGGCTATTAGCGACAAGAATTAACGTTTGTTTTTATTTGATAAACAAACATATTTTCTCCATTCGTACACAAAATTGTGTATCAAATCTCAATAAGAAAATAAATAAATAACACAAAGAATTCTTTTGATTTCAATATCAAATTTCCAAGAAAAAACAACAAACAAATAAATAAAATTATCAAATCCATTTTGATTTCAATTGGAACAATGTAATCTTTCAAGTGATAATGTTAAGCGGCATTTGGATAAGTTCGGAATTGATAAGCGAATGAAAATTAAAACCATAACCGAAGTACCTTGCAGATAACGAGGATCAAGTTTTGGAGTGTTTACATGTCATTCGAAACTTTCCTTGTTGCAATAAAAAAAAAACTGGTGTTACAAGTTTTCGAAAAAAAAAATCATTTTTATTTAATTTTGAATAAATTTGGGTATTTCCAATTTTTTTTCAAATGAGAATTTACGAACAAAACAAACAATTATTGAAAAATTTAATTTATACGTAAAATTACACAATTGGTTCGAAGAAAGTTGTTTATTTATTAAATAATACTTTGCTCAATCGGCAGAATCTCTTGTACTAAACACCTTCAAATTTGCTATAAAAACCTAGTCGGAATTTTTAACCTCAGCTTCGATGTTGAACGAACAGAGATTTTCGACTTTCGCTTTCTCAATTAACATACCGCAGTTCGCGCGTTGCGTCAAATCACAAAGTGTAATTGTCTTCTCATTAAATTTTATTTAAATCTAACGTCATTTTAAGCGGAAACTTAACGTCATGTTAGTGGAAAGATAGCGTCATATTAAAAAAAACGACATATTAGTGGAAAGTTAACGTCATATTAACTGTCCACTAACAAGTGATTAATACGAAACAACTTTGCATATCATCATGCAAAAACTACTTTTCATTTCCAACATAATTTTGCATTTCATTTTTTTTAAAAGACAGTTTACGCAATTGCATTCGTTGGTTCCTGTTTTCGAAACAAAAATAGCAATTCGTAATTCAGTGATCTGGAATGGTTACGCAATTTGAACAATTTTATTGATATTTTGCTTTTAATTATTCTTTATTTTATAAAACATATTAGTTTATATATTTTTTTTAAAGAACGTTTCAATAAATTTACTTTCACCTTAATAAAATTAAAACCAATAAAATAAATTTGTTAAATTCATTTTATTTTAATTGGATTCATGCAATTTGCAAGTGAAACTTATGTAACTCGAGGAAATTCTCAAAGATGAAATGATATAATAATTAAGAATGTAAAAAAAAGCTATGCGTAGGAAGATGTTACAACGACTTTCATCGTAATATTATTATAGAAAAAAAATCATTTCGCTGGATTTATTTTTGCCATTTCATTTATTATTCACTGCCAGATTATTATGTAATCATTGACATTGATTTAATGTTGCCGATTCCCACAAGAACTCAATTAGATCAAAAAAAAATTGTCGAATTGGAATGAACAAAAAAAATAACAAGTTTTAATTGTACAAATCAAGATTTTCTAATTAAAATAAAAATACAAAGTTTAAATAATGTGAATTTACAAAATTAATTGTATTGAAACTATGGAAATTTTAGTTGAAATATTTGAGAAAACTACACTAAACTATAAGTTAAAATTGTTAAAATTTCTTTATTACTTAATATGAATTTCAACTTATATAATAACCAAACTCTTATAATAATCAATAAAATAAATTTGTAAAATTGATTTTATTTTAATTGGATTTGTGCAATTTGCAAGTGAAACTTATGTAACTCGAAAAAATTCTCAAAGATGAAATGATATAATAATTAAGAATGTAAAAAAAAGCAATGCGTAGGAAGATGTTACAACGACTTTCATCGTAATATTATTATAGAAAAAAAAAATCTTTTCGCTGGATTTCTTTTTGCCATTTCATTTATTATTCACTGCCAGATTATTATGTAATCATTGACATTGATTTAATGTTGCCAATTCCCACAAGAACTCAATTAGATCAAAAAAAAATGTCGAATTGGAATGAACAAAAAAAATAACAAGTTTTATTTGTACAAATTAAGATTGTCTAATTAAAATAAAAAATACAAAGTTTAAATAATGTGAATTTACAAAATTAATTGTATTGAAACTATCGAAATTTTAGTTGAAGTATTTGAGAAAACTATACTAAACTATAAGTTAAAATTGTTACATTTTGTAAAAATTAGGATTCTCTAATTAAAATAAAAAATACAAAGTTTAAATATTGTGAATTTACATAATTTACAAAATGAATAGTATTGAAACTATCGAAATTTTAGTTGAAATATTTGAGAAAACTATAAGTTAAAATTGTTGAAATTTCTTTATTACTTAATATGAATTTCAACTTATATAATAACCAAACTCTTATAATATATAATCAATTGTATTGTTGTGAAGCGCGAATTGAGTTATTGAACGTTCAGGAATGGAATAGATAATAAATAAACAGCAGATAACAAAAAATGACGATTCTAATTGCATAAAATATGAAACCTCGCTTAACGAACAAAATGAATTTCGCATAACGAGTGACGATGAGAAGAGAAGTACCGGATTGTGCGTCTGCTACATCATTTGTGTACACATATTTAAGTGTATTTCACTATACGATTAAAAATCCGGAAATTTTGGAACGGATTTAAGCGAGGTTCCACTGTATTTGTAGGTCAACTAATGACGTTGAGGAATGATTTACAAAAAAAAAATAATGCATGTGAAGTGTATTTTGAAATGCACAAATTCTAAATTGTATTGAAACCCAATATTGAAATGGGAAAATATGCCAGGGTCACCCATCTCGGTATTATCAGAGACAGGTGTTGCTTCACTTTTGCGAGACATGTGAACTTCTTAAGTAATTTTAACTGCCGTTCCAAATATTTGCTTTTACATACACTTAGTTTATATTAGTAAAGGTCACGAATATGTGAAAGTAATTAGTATATTTTTTGTTGTAAATTAATGTAATTACATTTTGTTAACTTTGTTGCTATTTCGCTATAACATAATCTATAATTAAGTAAAATAATTAACACATCTTTATAATTCTATACAAACATTCAACAACAGTTTACAAATGAAATTAATTCTCAATAATTAAATGTTATTTTCTTGTGATTGCAACCATTTGAAATCATCAGTTATTACTCACGTATTATATTGTGTTATTGTTCGTTCATAATTACGTTTTTATTGACATGTTTTTCACTTAAAACGACATAACTTTTCCAATATCAAGGTATCATAAATTTTAAAATTATTCTATAAAAAAAAATGATCATTTCCATAAATACATTCCAACGTTTATATTTATTTTGATAAAATTTACTATTTTCTTTTAAATAATTGTAATAATTATTTACAGATTTAAAAAAAAATTGAATTAATTGGACAAATCATGAATAAACTTAATTATAATTATTTTTTTCATAATTAAAAAAAAGTGGTTTTCAATGTAAATAATTTGTTGTAATTGAGAGAAAGGTGAAAATTCTTACCTGTTTTCTAATTGTTATTTAGTTTGTTCCAAACCGATGCAGCTGTCAATCGGTTTAAGTAACAAGTCGATTATCGTAACTGTCGGTTAGTTAACGGTCGAATAACTTTTGATGATGTGCAATGCAAACAACGAGTATGTTCGTTAACGACGCGATTTTCGGACGGATTGCTGAGGATCGGTACGTTTGGAGAGGGCTCGACGTACTGCGGAACCGCCGCCACCGCGCCGCTCTTTTGTTTTGGGGTGCGCAGACGCCGGCGTCGCGACGCTCACTCGCAACACTCCCCTGCGTTCTTTTACGGAACTGCTGCTGCTGCTGCGTCCCGTCGAAGCACGTGCTTTTCAGTTATGAATTATTTCTCCGACTGTCTCGAATCGATTTTCTTGAGTCAGTCAGTCAGTAGGTTAGATGTTGTTAGTAGACGACATGCAGAAGGTGAAAGTTTTGTCGCTACGATATGGACCTACTTTGATACTTAGAGAGATGGGAGGAAACCGTATAACTGGTTCTAAGGATGTGCGACTTCGTACAAAGAAAATTGCCTTATTTAAACGTGATTTTAGAATATAGTTCAAAGTATTCATTAAAAAATTATTGTTCAACTTTTAATAGCTACAAAACTAGTTTTATAGTTAAATTAAAACTTATAGCTTTAGTTTTAATTATTTAATTAACACGCGCGGTTGTCGAGTAATAAAATCAAATGTGAAGGTACTTCATTTCTTTCAAATTTAATTGTTCAAATTTGTTTTGATTTCAAAAAAAAAACAATAATATCTAAAATCACATGCTTGTAGTTTAAACTTTAATTAGATTTGACTTTAATTAGAGTATTCAATATGTTAATTAACAATAATTAATTGTTAAGCCTTCACAACTCATTACAGAAAAATATATACATCTAAATATATGAAGCCTATAGTAATTAAAGTGTTTAATATTTTGAACAAGACGAGTTGTGTGAGTTTCTTGTGTTTTTTTTCAATTTTGACAACTTATTGCTGTGATATGATAAAAGTAATCAATCTTTCTATCTATGTATATTAAAACCTGTACTTTTATAGCTTTAATTAGAACATTGATAGCATACGTACTTATCGAGAAATACTGCATGCGTGAAAACATGAGACTTAAAAAAATATTTCTTTAACTTTTATAACTAATTACAAGCAAACTGTAATAACTACATGTCTCAAAAAAGGCTCATTGGAAAGTTTATTTAATTATCTTTAATTAGATTAATTAATGTTTGGTTAAAATATGATAAAACGCGAAATAATTGCCAATCCTTAAACAATATTTTCTTTATTATAGAAAAACGGTATAAGTCTGTTCATACACGCGTATTATATCCTATAGTTTTTGCTTTAATTAGAGTATTGGAAGTTGTAATTAGTGTGCGTTATTATCGAGTAATTAAATAAAATGTTAATACACTACTTTTCGAATATTATCAATTTTAATATGAATATTTTTATCATGTAAATAATAGCGCATTACTTAATCATCTATTATCAAAAAGAAAACAACCAGAAATAGTTTAACAAAGTAAGGATCGAACGTGTCACGAAATAATTTAATCTGAAGTATTTACTCGACTTTACGATAACTCAAGAACAATGTTCAAAGCACTATTTTTGTAATTTATTTAAATATAGAATTACACAAGTTTTCTTCATAAAATTAAGTTGTATAAAGTTCAACTTATGTATTATAATTATTGTTTAATTTATAAAAGTTTATACGTTTAAGAGCAATAATATTTAATTATTTTTACAGAGAATTACATAAGTTTTCTGTAGAAAATAAAGTTGACAAAATCCACACTTATAAATTAAGTTAAACATTATTTAACAAGAGAATTGTTATGTATAACCGTTATTGTTTATATTATGTTAGCCCTTATTATTTTATACATGTTTATGTATGTAAGTCATCAAATACCAGTAAGGAAGATCCCATAACTAATCATTGTGTAACGATTATTCTTAATCACCATGTTGTGCACAAACTCAAAGGTCCAATCAATAATGACCTCTAATATTTTTTAATTATTAGGGAAAATTAGGTAATATGTTCCCTTACCAAATATTGTACTCCCACTATGCTAATTCAATACTATATGACAGGATGTTTATGTAATACAGGAGAGTCCTAAAGAGTAAATGTTAAAGTCATAGTCCTAGCTAGTCGCTAGTCCAAGATAGTTTTAGTCTTAGTGGAGAGTCCTCCCGAATCCTAGTTAGACTCATAAACACCCTAGTAACAAATCTAGAAACTGGAATCTAGACATAGAAGTTATTAATAATCTTATATAGAATAATAAAGTGTTTATTATCATAAAACCTCCACTAGGACTCCACAATGACATAACTACGAGATGTACCACAGTGTCCAGAGATATTTGAATCCCGGGACACGACAGAATAACAGAAGTTTTCAATAGACTAATAAATTTGAAATTGAAAACCGAGTTATTGGTTAATTCGCATTTGTTTTATCTTGAATAACAAAAAATAAAATTATATAATTTTCTATAGAAAATAAATGTAACTAAAATAAATATTAGATATGCAAATGATTCAATAAATATTACTTAATTAAGTTCTCAATGTGTGATATTTGCATAGTATCTTATACAAGTACTTTATAAAGTTCAAGTACTTGTTAAATAAGCTTGTTATGTAAATTACACAATTAACGAATAACTTTAGAAATATCGATTATTGATTATGGCAAAGTATATTTTATAATAAAGTAGAATATATCAGATTTGCTTTGTTTATGTAGGCAATCCTTCATACTCTTGTAATACTATGATCGAAGTAGGCAATACTTGTGTATAGGTTAGATCAGAGGTCCCCAACCTTTTTGACCTCACAGACCACTAAAATCCAAATATTGAATCTCTCGGACTACGAGGACTCTTTTTTTAATAAGATTCTAAATATGAAATAGTATGTACATTGGGCCTTTAATAAAAACGCAACTTAATAATGCGAAAATTGAAAAAAAAAATGGGTTCAGAATATAATAAAAACGGGTCTATATCGCAAGCCCGACAACCGAAAGACCCTCTATTGAAATCCCGACTGTATCGAAATCCCGACGTTCGAAATCATGACTGTATTGAAATCCCAACGCTTGAAATCCCGACTATGGCAAAATCCCGACTATAGCAAAATCCCGATTATCATAATCCCGACAATCAAAATCCCTACTACCATAAAATACCATACCATAAAAATGTTATTGTAGAAATTTATAATAATAAAAGACACTGTCGGGATTTCGATATAGTCGGGATTTTGACATAGTCGGAATTATAGTAGTCGGAATTTTGAACGTCGGGATTTTGAGCCAGCCGGGATTTCGATAGACGGGATTTCGGCTTGCGATGGCCACCGAAAAAAACATAAATAATTGTCCATGGAATCCGCGGACCGGTACCATTTGATCTGCGGACAGGTACCGGGGTTTTGGAGACCACTGGGTTAGATAACCAAATTATAAGCAACTTTGGTGGTATACGTTACGTACCAATAATGTACTCAAAATGAAAAATTTCAAATCGTTATGTAAACAAGCCTAATTCGCTGTTTACATACAATTGTTGGTAATGTGAAATCCGAAACCGTATGGATCTGGAAATAATAAAAAAAGAGCGTGTGCATAGCGAAACCTGCTAATCAAATTATGACTATTTCATAACGGACCACTTGGGTCTTTGACCCGCGTCGCGTTCCCTTTTCCATTGTTGTTATTAGGTGCAACAACAACGAACAAAAAAAAAAAGATAGTAATTTCGCAATAATTACATAATAATTATGCAGCCCGACAAAAGTCTCCTCAACGAACAACAAGAAAAGCGGACTGGGCAATTTTTATTTCTTCCATGTCAACGGCTGGATAATCGAGTGGAAAGTGAAACGTCCGTTTCCACATTGAAAGAGTGAGAAAACAAAAATTAGATGTTTTTCCGCAATCCACCGGATACGCTTCTCAAGAAAATTTCCGTTTTGCAATTTCGTTGCGATTTCTAAATAATCATCTTTACTATGCATCTATTTTTAAATGCAATTTCAGTTGTTTTTGACTGAGATTTGTTTCATATTGATCCACAATGTTGCTTAGAAATGAAAGTTATCACGGGTTTCTAAATAAGAAAGTGTATTCTGTTGCTGTCTGATTATCCTGCGCCGCTCGTTTTTTTTTATCATCTGCCTAGTTCAATGCTCCTGAATCCATGCTATTTTTCATTATTAATCATCTCTTGATGGTTCATTTTATATGTAAACTGATTGGGGCTCAAGTAGAACAGAGACGATTTGCTAAAGTAACTAATGTTAATAGTGTACATTTACATTCACACGGATGGAGGAACTCGTGTCCCTCTTTTTATAATCATACACAAAATAAATATATACTTCGCACAGTAATGCCTTATTCCATAATTTCGTCCATAATTTCCAATA